TGTCTGCAAGGATGTTGCCCAGGGGATGCGAATCTGTGGGAGGCTTCTCTCATATCCCCACATGAGAAGCTGGAGCTAACCGGCAGGAGCTCACCCCGTTCCCCAGATTGAAATGGCAAGTCACTTCTGATGTGAGAGAATTGGCTGTCTGCAAGGATGTTGCTCAGGGGATGCCATTCTGTGGGAGGCTTCTCTCATATCCCCGCATGAGAAGCTGGAGCTGACAGACAGGAGCTCACCCAGCTCGCTGGATTTGAACCTGCAACCTTTCAGTCAGCAGTCCTGCCAGCACAAGGGTTTACTTACTTACTTAGTTAGTAAGAACCTTTTCATTGTTCTTGCTAAGTGAGTAAGTACCTTTTCAATGTCCCTTTTCATTGCTATCTCATCCAGAGTTTTATCATTTTATGTCGCACATTTGGACCGCCCACTGTTTTTTAAATTTTTCATTATGTTATTTTGTACTGTTTATTTTACTTGAATGGTTTGTTTATTTTATTGTGATGTTATTTTGTTGTTTATATTGTGTGTTGCTGTAATGTATCGCTGGGCTTGGCCTCATGTAAGCATAATGCACATATACATGGCAAACATTCAATGCCATAGACACACAACCAGGGCCGTAACCAGAAAAAAATTTCGGGAGGGGTTGAAATTTTCAGGGGGGGTTTTGAAAATTTCGCGGGGAGGGGGTGTTGAAACCTGCCTCCTAGCTCACGCTGAAGCCAAGAGCACAGCATGGGGCAGAGCAGCCTTCAATAGCCTGCAGCTCCGCCCTTGTCAACCACCTCCACCAAGTCTGGCCTCCTTAATGAGAGTATTCAACACCCCCCCCCCCAACTTGGTTGCTTCACTACTGTTCTGTCGCGCGCTGGGCCTGTAAATAATTGTCTTTAGAACAGGATGTGCAACCTTTGCCCAGCGGGAAGCCAGGGGGCCTAAAGAGAAGTTCTCAGAGGTTTCCACCACAAACAGTCTTTAGATGGCTTGAGAAGTACAACTAAGTCTTTTATTAATGAACAATCAAACAGAAACTTCTCTTGTCTTCAGTCAAGTTAAGCAAATGATTCCAAGCTTTTAGGCAACTGGCGAATTCCTAATCTTGCCCACGAAGGACAGGCAACTGCCTTCAATAACTTCTTCTTCACTTTAAAGGAAAATCCCCTTTTTAACTTCTCCCAGGCTGACTGTAATCTAACCCTTACTGATGTGGGCTCCGCTACCGGGTCAAACTGCGTCTCGAACGCCGAGTGGACCTACCAGCAAGGCAGTAGATGTTCTCCAGCTGGAGTTCTTTGGTCTTTAGGGCTGTTTTCCTGGAAATTCTTTGGAGACTCTTAAGACCTTTCTCCCCCGGAAGGTCTTAAGGGTTGAAACTTTTGTACAGGGGAAGCTTGCACACATCCTATACATAAGCTTCCTTGCTGAGACTAACTAAAAATGGCTCCCTTCCCTTCCCAATTGCCCTGAGCAAGGGGCGGGACCAAAACTTAACAATGATGGACAGGTGACTTGCCCTATGACTGCAACCAAAGAAGCCACCTATCTGCAGAGTCCCTGAAACCTAGGACTGCAAGCAAACATTTAATACAAAGCAAATAAAGTTGGAGCTCCTGGTACAGCTGTACCAGAACAACTACATTGGCTATTGCTGCAAGTAATGACAATGTGAATAAATTGCTAATATTTGCTTGAGATAGTGCTTGCAGTTCTGGAGGGACTCTTGATTTTTTGCATCTCATAGACTTAGCATGGGGATTTGGTTAACCAGTTAAAATTCATGAGTAAACCAGGTTTTTTAAAAAAAATCTGAAACATTTCGGGGGGGGGTTGAACCCCTAAACCCCCCCCCCCTCGCTACGGGCCTGCACACAACATATACAGACAGACACACAGAGTCTATTTAACTTCCAGCTTCATGAGGGTCTGCTTTGCATTCCAGCCACCGGGAGAGCTGTCGCTTCACCGTCCACTTGTGACACTGATGGAGTACTTCCTCATTCTTTTGCACACTGCTGGAGAGTTTTATGGCATTGTAAATTAGTGTTGGAGTCCAGCCTGTGATTGTGTTTCAGGATCAGAGTTCTTTGGATGTGGGAAGTGATGCCAATGATTTTCAAGATGGCAATGGTTTGGTCATATATGCAGAGAATGACCAGGAGATCCCTGTTCAAAGTGTAGTTTCGCATGAGAATGTCCCTGAAAGGTGTGGGGATGACAGTGTACTCCCTGAATTGCTGCCAGAGAGTTCCCAGGATTTGAGGCTTGAAAACAACTAGGCACCTGGCCCAGCTGCAAAACTTAATGAGCAAATAGATAGACAAGAGGAAATTAGTCAAAACAGACAGGTCGAACAGTGCCTTTGGCGTTCTGCCAGGCTCCGATAGGAAAAGATAAGGGGATCTCAAGTAAAGCGAAACTAATTCCTGAGTGCGTGGAATATTTTAACGAGGGGATAAAAGTTCCAAGTATAGGAAATATAGTCAGATGAAGCATTGTTGGAATCAAGTGTAGTTCTCGTCCTTGTTTCATGGAAGCCTTGCTTGGAAGATTCTTGTCTAAGTATTTCTTGTTTCATGATTTGGATTCTTGGAATGTATGAATGCCTACTCATGCCTTGGATTAATGTTTCCTGTTTTCCTGAATTATATTAGAGAAGTGTGGACTTTGTTTTTATGGACTTTGCTTAACTTTACTTTGGACCATTTTTGCTCCTGCTTATCTTCTTTCCTAATTGGATTTACCTATTTCTTTAAAGTGCTCTTTACTTTCTACTTTCTAATTATCTTCAATAAAAGGATTGCTTTCCAATACACTGTGTGGTGTTTACAATCAGAGGGCTTTTCCTGTCCTGGAGTGCAACAATTAGTTAAATTAGCCTCCCCGCATAAGCAGTACCTAAATTTCCATGCTTTGCTTCCAAGCTTTGCTTGGAAGATTCTTGTCTAAGTATTTCTTGTTTCATGATTTGGATTCTTGGAATGTACGAATGCCTACTCATGCCTTAGATTAATGTTTCCTGTTTTCCTGAATTATATTAGAGAAGTGTGGACTTCGTTTTTATGGACTTTGCTTAACTTTACTTTGGACCATTTTTGCTCCTGCTTATCTTCTTTCCTAATTGGATTTACCTATTTCTTTAAAGTGCTCTTTACTTTCTACTTTCTAATTATCTTCAATAAAAGCATTGTTTTCCAATACACGGTGTGGTGTTTACAATCAGAGGACTTTTCCTGTCCTGGAGTACAACAATTAGTTAAATTAGCCTCCCAGCATAAGCGATACCTAAATTTCCTAGCTTTGTTTCCAAGCTTTGCTTGGAAGATTCTTGTCTAAGTATTTCTTGTTTTATGGTTTGGACTCTTGGATTGTATGAATGCCTACACTTGCCTTGCATTAATGTTTCCTGTTTTCCTGAATTATATTAGAGAAATGTGGACTTTGTTTTTATGGACTTTGCTGAACTTTACCCGGGATTATTTTTGCTCCTGCTTCTGTTCTTACCTAATTGGATGTACCTCTTTCTTTAAAGTGCTTTTTGCTTACTGCTTTTTAATTATCTTCAATAAAAGGATTGTTTTCCAATCTACGGTGTGGTGTTTATAGTCAGAGGGCTTTTCACCAAAGACCCCTCCCCCGCCTCGCGACCTCGCCAAATGGCGAAATCGCGAGGCGGGCGAGGGGCCTTCGGGCGAAGTCCAGCCTTGTGCCAGAGACCCCACCTCGCGACCTCGCCAAATGGCAAAATTGCGAGGTGGGCGAGCGGCCTTCGGGCGAAGTCCAGCCTCGCGCTGGAGACCCCTCCCCCACCTCGCGACCTCGCCAAATGGCAAAATCGCGAGGTGGGCGAGCGGCCTTCGGGCGAAGTCCAGCCTCGTGCCTTGCGACCTCATCAAATGGCGAAATCGCGAGGCGAGCAAGGGGCCTTCTGGCGAAGTCAGGCCTCACACCGAAGACCCCTCCCCCACCTCGCGACCTCACCAAATGGCGAAAGCGCGAGGCGGACGAGGGGGCTTTGCACGAAGCCTTGGGGTGGGGCCAATGGAGGCTGCCTCGCGACCCCTCCAAAATGGCCAGGCGACCCCCTGGGGGTCGCGACCCCCAGGTTGAGAACCGCTGGGCTAAAAGATCCCAGGATTTTTCTACTGTTGGGGAAAAGTTAACTCGGTAACTGAAGAAAAAAGGAAAGAAAGAACATCTATATGGTTTCCCAAATTGACTGTTTGTGTTTGTAACTCCATCAAACTGCGCCAAGTCTGTCAAGGACTTTGAAAAATAAATGTTCTGTTGATGTTCAAATCTGGACTGGCCTCAGTTGCTAAGAATCTTGAACTTCTAGGAAAGGCACCCGCGGTTCACCCAGATAAAGAGAGAAGCACATCTTAGTTTTAACTTCATAGTGTCTGGGTGTGACGGCACACCGCCCTTCTCACTCAGGGAGGTTTACAATGTACATATACATGGCAAACATTCAATGCCATAGACATACAACATATATAGTCAGGCACAGAGGCAATTTAACTTTCCATGAGGGTATTCTGGCCACCGGGGAGCTGTTGCTTCACCGTCCATTTATGACACTGATAAAGTACTTCCTCATTCTTTGCAGGCTTGCTCAAGATTTTTATGGTATCGTAAATTAGTTAAATTATCCTCCCGGTGTAGGCGGTGCCTAAATTTCCTACTTGACAGATGCAACTGTCTTTCGGGCTGCAAAGGTCAACAGCAAGCTAGACAAATGGTCTGGAGCTTACTCCGACCCGGGCTGGCTTCGAACTCATGACCTTTCAGTCAGTAGTGATTTTTAATTCAGCTGACTCCCAACCAGCTGTGCCACAACCTGGTCTGTATATGACTATAGTTTGACTATATATGACTATAACTCTCTCAGCAATCTCTTTTGGTTCAACTACCTCTGATTCTCCTGCAGTTAAACTCTTGCTTTTCTCCCATTCTAATTTCATGCATTTTAATTCTTTCCTGTCTTTCTTATTTCCAAGCAACGTGGATACTAAAGAGCTGTGTGGTGAGTCTCTCTATTTTGTATTTTATTCTGTCTGTCTGTCTCTCTATCTATCTTTCTATCTATCTATTAGGCTTGGGTAACAACGGAAAAATTTGTTTCTAAACTCATTTCGTTTTTAGGGGGTCCATTGCGTTTCGTTTTTTTAAAGAATTCCGAATTTTTTCTTTAAAAAAGTTCGAAATTTACGAAATTTCGAAAATTTAGAATTGATTCGTTAATGGCAGACGCAATTGCGCAATATGCTAAAAAAACCTCCAAATGGGACAGGGGGAACTTCTGAAGCTTCCCTCTCCCTCTGTTGTTGACTGTTGGTGTGATAAAACAAACAACCACTATATTATATTATATTGTTATATATTATATAATATTATTATAATATTATTATATTATATTATATATATTATATTATATATTATATAATATTATTATAATATTATATTATTATATTATTATAATATTATATATTATTATATTATATTATATTATATTATTATAATATTATTATATTATATATTATTTTATTATATTATATATATTATATTATATATTATTATATTATTATAATATTATTATATTATATTATTGTATATTATATTATTATAATATATTGTATTATATATTATATATTATTATATTATATTACGAAAATAATTACGAAATAATTACGAAAATTGGAAAAATTGTTTCGATTCTTAATTACTCCTCACACTATTCCAAAATGGCTCAATATCGGATCGTAAGCTAATTTAAATACGAATTAATAACGAATTACAAAATTAACGAACGAAACCGCCCAAGCCTACTATCTATCTTTGGCTGGGGCTACACTGAAAAATGTACCTGTTCCAACTTACATACAAATTGATACAGTGACACAATTGATACAGTGAGAGAACTTGAGACTCCGTGGCCACTTGCTGGGCCCATCCTCGACCAGTTCATCTCACTGGACGCAGGGGCTATCGATAGGCTCATAGCTGCAGCTAGACTGACCACTTGCTCCCTCGATCCGTGTCCCTCTTGGTTGGTGAAATCCTGCTTGGAGGGATTACGCGACCCTCTGTTGAAGATTATAAACAGCTCCCTTGAGCAAGGAGTTTTTCCAGAGGGTTCAAAAGAGGCGGTGGTCTCTCCCCTGCTGAAGAAACCAGATTTAGATCCTTCGGTTCCCTCCAGTTACCGCCCAGTTTCGAATCTCTCGTTTCTGGGCAAGGTGATTGAGAGGGCAGCAGCGGAGCAGTTGCAGCAATTCCTAGACGACACAGCCGGACTAGATCCCTTCCAGTCCAGCTTCCGTGCAGGGCATGGGGCAGAGACTGTGCTGGTCTCCATCACTGATCACCTTCGATGCCAGCTTGACCAGGGCAGGTCAGTGCTGCTTGTGTTATTGGATCTCACAGCAGCATTTGACACAGTCGACCACAATCTTTTGACCCACCGCCTTGCTGTTGCTGGAGTCAGGGGGAGAGCTTTAAGCTGGCTGTCCTCCTTCCTTCACAACCGTGGACAGCGAGTGGAGAGGGGAGGCCTGGTCTCTGAGAGGTCCCCTCCCTCTTGTGGGGTTCCTCAGGGGGCCATTCTCTCCCCTCTGTTGTTTAACATCTATATGCAACCACTCGCTCAGCTGGTTCGAGGTTTTGGGCTTGAGTGTTATCAGTACGCTGATGACACTCAGCTGGTGCTGAAGATGGAAGGCTGACCGGACTCTGTACCCGATTGTTTCCATCCGTGCCTCGAGGCCATTAATGGATGGCTGTGTGCCAGCAGGTTGAGGGTGAATCCAGCAAAGACGGAGATCCTATGGCTGGGTGGATCGGGCAGTGGGGACATCCAGCTGCCTACCCTGGATGGCGAGGCACTATGCCCGTCATCATTGGTCAAGAGTCTGGGAGTCCTTTTGGAGCCTCTGCTGACAATGGAGGCCCAGGTCTCCGCCGTGAGCAGAACTGCCTTCTTTCACCTGCGGCAGGCTAGACGGCTGGCCCCCTACCTGTCCAGGGACGACCTAGCTACGGTGATCCAGGCTACGGTCATCTCAAGACTGGACTACTGTAACGCCCTCTACATTGGCCTTCCTCTGTCGGTGATCCGGAAGCTCAAGTTGGTACAAAATGCAGCTGCTCGGCTTCTTGCGGGAATTCCGATGAGATGCCACATAACCCCAATCCTACTACAGCTGCATTGGTTACCAATTGAGCACCGGATCACTTTCAAAGTAATGGTACTCACCTTTAAGGCCTTGCATGGTCTGGGGCCGATGTACCTGAGGGACCGCCTCACCCCCTACCAACCCCAGAGATCCCTCCGTTCTGAGGACCAAGATCTATTGGAAATTCCCAGTGTCAAGACCTTGCGTCTAACAGCAACCAGATGCAGAGCCTTCACAGCAGTGGCACCATCACTCTGGAATACTCTGCCACCTGAAGTCCGTGCCTTGCGGGACTTATCAGCTTTCCGCAGGGCATGTAAGACATACCTGTTTCGACAGGCTTTTAATGTTTGATATTGCTGTTTTTAAATTGTTTTAAATTGCTTTTAAATTGTGTTAGATTTTAGCCATTCTTGTAAGTCACTCCGAGCCCCAGGGGAGTGGCGGCATATAAGTCCAAATAATAAATAAATAAATAAATTCAACTTGAGAACAAACCTAGAGAACCTATCTTGTTCGTAATTTGGGAGCTGCCGGCATACATTAAACTTTAGATGCAGATGAAGGGTACAAAGAAGTGGAGGTGAAAAAGCATTCACCGCATTCTTGCATTTCTCTGCGGGCTACAGTCATGATCTCAAGTAGGTTATATGAAGCCTGTTAGATGAGCAGGAAGCAAATTAGGAACGAATATTAATTTTGCAAGACGGGTTTGTTAACTAGGGCACTGGAATCTGCGAGTGGTAGAGAGACAGCAGCAAGGTGATTTATCTTCAAATGGTTGTGTACTTTGCTAAAAATACACCCTCGGCCCAAAGCCTCGGCAGGAGCATCTGCTAAACACTGATGTGTTTACTCACACTTGATAGTAATTTCCCTTACAAGCACCTGGGGATCCGTCGGAACAAGTGGAGCGTCCACTTAAGTCGAAAACCCTGCCATCAGCAGCTCGGTACGAACTCTTTGGAACAAAGGAGCGGCTACATTCCGTTAATTCTTGCTCCCTTCCAAGGACGGCTTTGCGCTTGCATAACTTTTCCACCTTCTTTGCAACCCCAAGCAAAGCCAAGTGCCAAGGACAGCCTTGCCCGCATTGAGCCTCCTCCTCCGAGGGCCTTGCCGTGTTCTTGCAGGAAGTACATTATGTATTTATAAGTGTGCAAGTGGAGCAGCAGCAGAGAGATGGACAAACATGCATCTCGAGAGCAGCCATTGAAAAAGAGCTGGAGAAGTCACCGATCGGCATGAAATGGCCCTGAACGGATTTGGAACATATCCATGGATTGTCTTGAAATAATGATTGGTTATGGCCAATGTGGAAATACACTGCATTCTGGAAGGCTGTGACCATAGGCTTGTCAACACTAGAAAAGGAAACTTGCTTGCTAAAGAAGTGTTTCTCAACCTTCCTAATGCTGCGACCCCTTCATACAGTTCCTCATTTTGTGGTGACCCCCCCTGTGCAGGTACAGCTGTACCAGGAGCTCCAATTTTGTTTGCTTTGCATTTAATGTTTGTTATAGTCCTAAGTTTCAGGGACTCTGCAGATAGGTGGCTTCTTTTGGCTGCAATCACAGGGCAAGCCACCTGTCAATTATAGTTAGGTTCCCTGGTCCCGCCCCCTTTTTAGGGTTTTGGAGGGGATAGGAGCCTTTTTGGTTCAGTCCACACAGAGAAGCCTTTCGCACAGGACATAATACCAAGAGCTCCTGTAGAAAGCTTCGTCTTCTACGGCTTGGCCGGGGAGATATACAGCCCACAGCTTGGCCGAGGTTCATACAGCCTTACAGCTCCTTTGCTGAAGGACTTCAGCCAGCCATCACTGAAACCTGAACTCCTTCTTTTCCCCTGGAGGTCTACAAAGCTCTGCTTGGTAAGGGTCGCTCGCGGAAGCCAGACGCAGTTGGTACCGGGTACAGGGGCTCCACGCCAACAGAGCCAAGTACAGACTGCCCAGATTAGAAGTTAAGGATTTCCCCATTACTTAAAATACCAGTCATGAAGATAGTGCCTGTTCCCTGTAGACAAGATTGAAAGAGCCTATAGACTGTTAAGAAAGCCTTGAAATACCTGTTCGTTTTCATAAATAACGAACTTTGTTGAACCTTTAAGCAATCTAAAGACTTTGTTTTGGGGAGGTCCAAGGGCCCTTAATCTAAGGCAGCCCCGGCATCCCGTTGGGCACACAGAATTTATGTCCTGTCTACAGTCTTATGCACAGGCCCAGCGTGCGACAGCACACACCCCACCATAGCATTATTTTCGTTGCTACTTCATATTTGCCACTGTTATGAATCACAATGTAAATATTTGATATGTAGAATGTATTTTCATTCCTGGACCAAATTTGGGACAAATACCCAATATGGCCAAATTTGAATATTTATTTATTTATTATTTACGTCATTTTTTTATCCCACCCATTTCAGCCCGAAGGCGACTCAGGGCAGCGCACAAACCAGCAACAATTAGATACCATATACAAATACATATAAAACAATTTGCTACCTTCCTATGCAATGGTTTTTCCATAGCTCCAAACTAGCTGTCAGTTGCTTGGCTTCACAATGGCCACCTGGCTCACAGTTACACAAACACATGAATAAATAGTCACTTTTTGCCTCTTTCATGTTCAGGGGTGGATGACCTTTTCATACCCAAAGGCAACCATAGCTTTCTCCCTTCTCTGTGGGGTCATGTCACTGTTCCAGCAGTCAGCCAACCCAATTCTTCTCCAATGCCAGAAATACAGCTTAATGGTGTAACATTAAAAAAAGTTGACCATTTCCACTACCTTGGCAGCCACCTCTCCACCAAAGTCAACATCGACACCGAAATACAACACCGCCTG